ACTACTCGCGCCAATTTTTGTAACATAAGTGGTCGCGCGGTGCACTAAGTGCTACGCTCCTTAAAATGGCTATATTGCTGAATGTTTTCAATTTTAATATTACTTTTGCTTATATTCGGATGAATCAACTCTATTTTTATTAAAACACAATATTTATTTTAAAAAGAAACAAAAAGCAAATAACAAAAAATAAAACCAACAAAAAAGTTATTACTTCTACTCAGAAAAGAAGAAATCAGAATGAAATTTAGCCATTCTATTTTTATTTGTGTATTCTTAGAAAAATGTATACCTTAAAAACCATTAGGTTTTAAATTCTATACTTTGTTGATTTAGAAATATTTTACATTGCAAAAATTGAAATTTAGTTAAGTTTTCTGTCCATAACTTTGAAATTAGTAGTTTAAACTGAATATGCCGTCGACAGTGCATGGTAGACACATCAGTCATAGGTTACATGGAAAGGGCATTTAATTCCAAGAAAACGACAAAAAGTTATAGAGGTTTTAATAAAAACGGAGCACTCAGTGCACCTACGCGACTAGTTAAGGGTTAATCACTATAGTGACATATATGTATTTTACGAGAATAATTTCTTACACAAAATAACAAATTTGTAAAACTTATAATTATCACAAAATAAAAAAAAGTTTCAGCTGCTCACAAGTAAAAAAATACTGAAGAAAAATTGCCTCAATTGACTAAAAAAGTTTCCATTGACAAAAGATGGGTTGGGATTTTTCAATATTTTCTCGTCCAAAATGTTCCCTTACAAGAATTGTAGAATTATGCATGCCTACCAGGCTGGTTCCTAGGAACCAATGCTCCCACCGAACAGGTATTTACTGGAATAAATATAATGTGGACTTCATAGAAAACACTTCTGTCCGTGGAATCATTAAAATGTATGCATTTTCTAAAATATAATTTAGAGTATTCTTCTTGTGAAGAATTTTATAATTCTGTAAAAAATTATGACGGAAAATTTGTTTGAAAAGGAGTAATTTTCAAATATATATTTTTATATATAAAATTATAAAATTCTGCATGATGGAATGATATAAATATTATATTATTTGAATGATGATTGATGTAAACGATTTTCTGTTTTCTCGACCTTCCCCTCCCATCGCCTTCGTATCGACAAAATGCGCCTGCCGCGGACTTTTCCGCTTTTGGCAGATTTTTTTTGGCTTTGTCACGGATTTTGACATTTTTGATGTGGTTACTTTATGTTTGCCTGTATTTACAAAAACGTTACGACAAGCACTAAAGGAGCAACTGCATAAAATTGTTATGAGTCATAACTTACGACTTTAGACTATATAAAAACGTCTTCGCGCGCCAAAACTTTGAGTGTGATAATTTACATTCTGATTTGCAAGCGGATAAGCGATAAAAAATCCGCAAAATATTAGAGTTAGATCTACGAAAAATTAATTGAAAATTACAGGATTCGCGCGGTATAACCGACCCAATTTTTTGTTTTTTTCGTCATTTTTTTAAATATTTGTTTCATTAAAAAGATACATATTGCATTGGTGGGGGCCCCTAAATGGTGGGGGCCCTGGGGCCGTGGCCCCGCTGGCCCCGTGCTAAATCCGGCTCTGCACATTGTTTAAGCAAAAAAGAGTAATTTTATTATTATATTAGTTCTTAAAATAAAACCTTTTAATTTGTATATTTGTTGTTATTATTTATTTTGTTATAATTATTATGAAGTTTAATTACGTAATAAACTAAACTTTATTTTTGAGGGGTATATTTTATGTTCAAATTGTATTAATATGTAATTTTTAGGGTTCGAGTGTAATGTGTGCTTTCGAAAGTATAGGTATAAAAAAGGTATTTTAGAGCACAAACGCTTGGTATGTGGAAAGGAGCCCCAGTTTTCTTGTCCAGTATCAGGTTGTTCATATACCAGTTTCTATAAGGGAAATCTTAAATCACATTTAACTAAAGTTCACAAAAAATTTAGATAAATAGAAACTAATGTAAAAAATTGTTTGGAATAAATCAAAAACCCAAATAATGTATTTTTATTATATTGTGGTCGTGTATTAGGTAATTGGAAAATGCAGGACCGTTACCTTTTGGGGCCCTGGGCTAATGCTGTTTGGGGGGCCTATACAAGGTTTTTATCAAAAGGGTTCCTTATATTTATAGATATTAAACTGTTTAGTGGCGGCTGGTGGATTTTCTCAGTTATTAGACATGGGACCCACATCAAATTTATATGAGTTGACATTATACAGACAAGTTCTACGCAAGCAGAATTTAAATTGAAGTTTTCGAAAAAAAGTTAGTTTTTAAGTGTGCCCCCCCAGCTTCCTGCCCCCCCCCCCAAATTAAGAAAATTTCAAATTTTATTAAAAAATTTTAAGAATTACAGGTTTTATACTATTTTAAATTTTTATTATTTCTTTTACTAAATTTATAAAAAAAATTAAATGGTATAAAATCTGTAATACTTGAATTTTTTTAATAAAATTTAAAATTTGTTTTGTTGATAAACTTTAGTGAATTAAATATTGTACCATTTTAATTTGAATTAATTTGGGGGGCACACTTAAAAATTAACTTTTTTTCGCAAACTTTAATTTGAATTGTGATGTGGGTCCCATGTCTAATAACTGAGATATGGGTGTGCCCAAAATCCACCAGCCGCCACTTTAATTTAAACAACTTTTTAAATTGATAAACTTTTACAGTTTTAATAAAAAACGAATTTAATTTTTTTGTGGGACCCACATAACTAAAATAAATATAAAAGGCATTACTTTTATTAACAAATAAAAACAAAACAACATTCTCAGGTCAAAAAAAAACAAGAAAAATAACACTGGTTCTTAAAATAAATAAATAATAATTATTATAATATTATTATTATTTATACAATGTGTCTCAAAAAAGCCTGTACAATGTAAAAAATGTCATAGGTCCTTTTTTGTAGATCCTTTTGTTTCTAAAAATAGGTCATTAAATTTTTTTTAAATTACTTGTTATAAATTAATTTTTTGCAGAAAAATTGCTATTTTCTTAAAATGAATTGTTATTCTAACCAAAAATATTAATTTGTTAAACCACTAACTGTGGTATGATTTAAAAATTATAAAATAACATATTTTTATGGAAAATTAAATGATCTATGTCATTTTATAATAAATCCGATGGTTTTACATAAAAGTAAGTAAATTTACTATATATTCTATTTAAGCTAGATTTTCCATAAAATTATAAAGAACCATTTTTGTGGATCATTTATAAATAACCAGAACATATCTGTTCTGAATATTTTAGTCCATTGATCTGTTATCGATAATTTTAAAATTAAACATTTTTTCCAAGTTATTTAAATAATAAAATAAAAAACGCGATGAGGGACCTCTAATAATATTAAGAGCTGAAATTTTAAACTGACTATTTTAACAAAATACACATTTTTTTCTAAATTATGATAGAACATTGCATGCCAAAAACATGTATTACTCCCTTTAAAGATTTATTTCCTTAATTCTTAATCAGGTCAAAAAATATGATTTTTTACAAAAAAAGCCTGCAAAAGTGTATACATTCCGAAATTTGAAAGGGGGAGAGAGAAAAAAAAATAAATTGTGCTGATTTCAGCGTAGTCTAAGGATAATTAAAATATTTTTAAAATCCACGACCTGAACCTGTAATCATCTGGATTAACCCAGCTCTGTAATTAAGAAAGTATATGCTAACTTTTTTCCTACGATAGACTATTTAAGTTATTTCAAGCGAAATTTTGAGTACTGTATTAAGGTTAAGAAAGCTTAAGTAAGATGTACGAAACGGTCTATTGCAGTTTTTTTTTTTCAAGACTTATTAGATGCTGCGATTTCTAAAATGAGAAGTTTTCCTCTTTTTCTTATATTCAATTAAAACCCAGTTATTTAATTTGAGTATTTTTAAATGTTGTTATTAATTTAATTATTTTAGGGTCTTTTCTATGTGAAACTTGCAATAAAATGTATAAATACAAAAGAGGATTGACGCAACACTTAAGATACGAATGTGGAAAGGAACCAAGATTTGCCTGTAAATGGGCGGGTTGTAACTACAAATCGAAATTAAAATGGTGCATTAAGCAACATATAGCATGCAAACACAAATCTGTGGACTTTTAAAATTTAAATTTAAATTTAAAATTTTATTATAAACCCGATAAAAAAACAGAGATAGTTTAATTTTTTTTTAAATAATGACCATAAATTGTCTAAATAAATGTCTGGCTTATAACATGATTAAAGTAAATGTTTGCATTTTATAACAAATATGCTGTTACATTTGTGAAATATAAAAAAGTGTGGTTTGTATTTCAAATACTTTTAATCTCTAAACATGAGATAATTTATTTTAGATCGAAGATTGGTTTGTATTTCAAATACTTTTAACCTCTAAACAAAAGATAATTTTTTTTAAATCGAAGAAAATACGAATGTAAAATTTGCTTTCGAACGTATAAAAATAAAAATGGTTTGTATCAACATAAGCGTTACATGTGTGGAAAAGAACCGCGATTTTCATGCACTGTAAAGGGATGTTGGTTTAAAGCAAAAATGAAAGGGGACTTCAAAAGACACATGGTTATGGTGCATAAAAAACAAATATTAGATGTAAATATTTTATTTTAATAGGCTGAAGGAAAATGTATTTATTATTTTATAATATCCAGTGTTTTTGCTATCATGTGTTTGGTAACACTGGTTCAATTATTATGCCATAACCAACTTTAAAAAGTAAATAACTGAATTATTGCACATTGTTTAAGCATTTTATTGCAAAAAAGAGTAATTTTATTATTATATTAGTTCTTAAAATAAAACCTTTTAATTTGTATATTTGTTGTTATTATTAATTTTTTTTATAATTATTATTAAGATTAATTACGTGATAAACTAAAATTTATAATTATTTTACTTTTTATTTTTGAGTGGTAAATTTATGTTCAAATTGTATTAATATGTAATTTTTAGGATTCGAGTGTGATGTTTGCTTTCGAAGGTATACGTATAAAAAAGGTCTTTTACAGCACAAACGCTTGGTATGTGGAAAGGAGCCACAGTTTTCTTGTCCAGTATCAGGTTGTTCATATACCAGTTTCTTCAAGGGAAATCTTAAATCACATTTATCTAAAGGTCACAAAAAATTTAAAACATTTTAATAATTTTGACATAAATAGAAACTAATGTAAAAAATTGTTTGGAATAAATCAAAAACCCAAATAATGTATTTTTATTATATTGTGGTCGTGTAATTTATTTTTTATAAATGTTTATATATTATTTTATTATGATCACGAAAAACTACAAATCTTACTTTGTAGGCCAATTTCGATGTCAACGCTGTGGAAAAATTTATAAGCACAAGAGTTCTCTTTACAAGCACTTAAAATGGGAATGCGGCATAGAGTCGCAATTCAAGTGCAAAATGTGTCGTTACGAATGCAAGCAAAAAATCAGTATGATTTGTCACTTAAATTTTAAGCATAAAATTCAAGTGGACAAGAATGATGCTAGTCAACATATTCAATAATAACTTAACAGTAATAATCCGGCAATTGTATTATATTTACCATCGACGTATAGATAAATGTCTCTAAATTAAAATCTGTGAACCTACATTCTGTCAAAAAGTACCCGAAAGCACAGTACCATGAAGCCTACACAAGGAGTACTAACTTATTGAATTGACACATGGGCGTCCATACAAAATTTTCCAGGGGAACAAATAATTTAATGAGCAGCAAAAAAATACCTTGGTTTCAAAATATATTAATAAATTATACGTTATAAAATATATAAAAAAAATTAATATAATTTACACACATAAACCTTAATTATTATAATTAGGAGGATTTTCATTACTTAAACTTTCAGTTTCAAGCGATTTTTTACTTAAAAACTTGCGTATGTCCATAATAAACTATAATAAAAAAATACAATTTTAATACCTACTTAGTTTATATTAAGACAAACGGTACAACATTTTTTTAATTAAATCTTTTAAGTATAATTGTGCACAATTATATTACCCTTGTGTGTAATGTAATATATTCAAGTGTTAATTTTTCTTACTAAAGTTTGGTTTGTTTAATAAAAAACGTTTAGAGACAAGGAAGCATTTTAAAAGATGTCAGTAAAATTATTTTCATTTATATTATTTCGAACACACTATTTTATTTGGAATGCTTTTAAAAATGCAATGCCTTATAAAGAAACTTAAAATTGAAAGATTTTAATCTTTTTTTATATGAAAAATTATTAAATTAAATAGACCCTCTTAAATATATTAAATTGTAGTAAACCTACTTCCACTTACCTGAAATACAGCCCGTTCAGAGTAAAACCGAATTTATCTATATATATATATATATATTTATATATATACAGTATGTCTCAGTATCTTGGAATCATATGGAAAACTTTTTTATTATTAATTTTAGGAAAAAAAAATATTCTTCATAAAAAGTTCTGCATGGTGTAAAACTTAAAATGCAACCCACAAATGTTAATTTTTTTTAGTCGTATACGGTGTATGTCAAAAAATATGAATTTGGCTCAAGAGTAAAGTACCTTTATATTTGACAATATCGAAAATTGTTATAAAGAAAAGTTAATCAGAACTAAAAACTACGTTCAAATATGCAATTACATCCATTTACATTAAAAAAAATATTTTTTCTTTTTTGTCTACAATATCAATGCAAATTTAACTGTAACATGTAATCTAGGATGCACTGATAAACAAATGATTTGTTGATATTCTAATACTTTTTGGCCTGCTAGATCCCCTGACTAAACTTAAGGTTTTCATGTTTTTTCTAATCATAACAGATAAATGTTCATTTAAAATAGAAAGATTAGTAAAAATTAACAAAACCTAATTTTTTAATGTAAGTGTATGAAATTGCATATTTAAACGTAGTTTTTAGTTCTGATTAACTTTTCTTTATAACAATTTTCGATATTGTCAAATATAAAGGTACTTTACTCTTGCGCCAAATTCATATTTTTTGACATACCCCGTATACGACTAAAAAAATATAATATTTGTGGGTTGCATTTTAAGTTTTACACCATGCAGAACTTTTTATGAAGAATAACTTTTTTTCCTAAAATTAATAATAAAAAAGTTTTCCATATGATTCCAAGATACTGAGACATACTGTATATACACACATGTCCAAAAGTTTGGAATACTTACAAATAATATATCTACGCCTATGGTAGTTTAAAAAAAACTGTTGTTAATATTTACTCTATTTTCTCTGTCTTTGAGGTTTATTTATTATTGGTCGGAGTCGTTATTTACCTATATAAAAAAAAATATATATAAATATCAATAAAAAAAGAAATATTGCAATATTCCAAACTTTTGGACATATGTGTATATATATATATATATATATATATATATGGGGCGTGGCCTCGCCTCCCTCCAAGGCGCGTCACAGTAGCTTGTGTGATAAACGACATGCGAAAGGTCAAGCAGGTAAGACGACTTAAAAAATTAAATGATAATAATGCAAAAAATCTCATTAGCGATGCAGGCTATTTGCTTAGCTTCTGTGTCGCGCGTTGGTGGGAGGCGAGGCCACGCCCCATATATATATTCGGTTTTACTCTGAACGGGCTGTATGCTGAACTATAACTATAAATAACAATAACAAGTTACACAACTTACATAACTTTTCAATAAAAATGTTGTCATGACAGCTGTTTAATGCGCCCCATGTTTTTATGTCCATGGTTGTCAGATTATTCAGATAAAGCAATGTTGCCAATATTATGAAGAAATAGTTCTTTTATTTTATATGAGGCCTGTCAGAGCAAAGTCAACAATCTCCCTTCAGACTAAAACTGAGTAAATTGTGATAATTGATTCTGGTATTTTAAATTCTAGATTTGTAATTTTTTTATATATTATATTGAAATATTGTTGTTGTTAGTCTAGTAGCCAACTACAAGGTCTCCAGGATGCATAGTATAGGTGAAATCTATAATTATAAATTGTAAATTGCTGACTTTGATATGAATTGCTGGAGATTGCTCATTTTGTTGTAAACGTTTAAGGAGATTTAGAAAAATAAACAAAAAAATGATTGTTTTTTTATTCCCTTAATGGGTATAAAATTTAACTATACAATCAATGTGGGAAAATTCTGAACTGGACCACATAAATCTGAAGTATCTTCTAAATCTGGGACCAGGTTGCCTCGTGCAAAATAGTATATTATGTATCAAGTTTTATAAACGCCATTTTAGTTACGAGTTTAATTAAGCACGAACGAAGCTTGCGAGCGAGTGTTTAATAAAAACGAGTGTCTAGAGAAGTTTATAAACGAGTTGCATACTATACTTTATCTACGACGCGTCGCGACGAACACAAAACATAATTTAAAACCAATTTTATTTGTTAAAATTTTGACATCTGTCAACTGTCACCCGAATTTAACCTCACTTTTTCCCAATTTATAATAAAGCTAACTTCAGCCCGTGGCGTAAAATGTCGAAAAGCCACTGTTGTTAACTTCAGCCCGTCAATAAAACGCCATAAAGTCACAGCTCGTCAATGTAGGAGTAGATAAAAGTTTTTATAGTACAACAACTCATCATCTTCTTCCCACTTTGCCCCGTAATGTTTTGACATTATCAGCCTTTACATTTACGTCTTATTATGGTATAATAGCACAAAATAAACAATTTAACTTTTTTTATAATTCTTAAAACAATAAAACGTATCTATACCTATTTTAAATATATTTTTAAGTGCAATTTACTGCAATAGAACTTAACAGTATGTACCAGTAAAAAACACAAAATTAAATCTCTAAAATACGTATAACATCAAATGTTAGGATATCAGGTGACACAAATTACTAATTTCTAATGGTGGAATTGGAGATGTATACTTTGCTGCAAATCTATCAGTGGAGATTGTCGACTTTGCACTAAATGTCATTTTTAAAATAGGATTTGGGCAGGATTTAGCTCCTTTTGCAGCACATAAACTTTATCATCTTATAGATAATTAGTTGAAGTACAGTCTTTGCCAAAAATCTAATTTCATATAAAAGTGGAGATTGTCGGTTTTGCTATGACAGGCCTCATATTTGCATTACATAAAATAATGTTAATACCTTAATTAAATACACTGATCGTTTTTTGAAGTGGTTCGCCAAAAAAATTATCCCACTTTGATAGGTTGTAACTTTTGAATGGATGGACGTATCTTGTTAATTTTTTTTTTTGTTAGAAAGGGCATTTTTTTAGCAGTAAGTGTGCACGACTGCATTTATTTGTCCTGATTTAAAATAATTTTACAGGGTGATTTGTAAAGATATGATTTTAACATTAAATGTATTAATGTGCAGGAGGTAAATGGGTCACCCTGTATAATTTATTTTAAGGTCATCATAGAGCCTTACGTCTTAGTGCTGCGTGCTTTTTTGGATTTTGGTCATAACTCAATAGCCTTGGAAGATATTAATTTTTCTTTCACTTCATGTCTATGTGCGTAAAAAATCGAGATATCTTTGGAAGTAATAATGTTTTGACATGTGTCAATTTAATTGTTTGTAACAATGCCGCGTCTACAATGTGCAATTCTTGAAAGAATCATCGGAATGGTTTTAGCTGGTGTCTCTCAAAGGGAAGTAGCCCGATGCTTTAATATTGCATACAGTATGGTTAATCGCGCTTGAAAACGATACGAAAAGAATAACTCTCCGCAATATAGACACGAAGGAGGGCGTCAAAGAGTAACAACTCCAGCAGAAGATCGTCTTCTTAGGAGAACCGCTTTGCAGAACAGAAAAACTAATGCTACCCAACTGAAACGAGCATTGCACCTGGCTACCGGAAACATGATTACAACATCCACAATAAGAAAAAGATTGCATGAAGGTGGACTTCACTCCAGACGGCCAGCTAGGCATCCAAAATGGAATCATGGGCATAAAAGGCGACGTCTGGAATTTGCTTTGAATCATCAAAACAGGC